TGCATTAGATAACGATGGGCATGGAATAGCCGAGGATTTAGGGATCCTTCGCTGCTGCACAAATGATCCCATGGATTGATGTATTTTGAGGGAAAGACACATTTAAAAAAAAAAAAAAAGAGCTTAGACTTGCTTCAATCTTTCTAAATCTTGTTATTGTCAAATAAATATTTTAATTTAAAAGTTCAATTCTAAGTAAAGGGCCAAGCAAAGAACTTTTGCTGGTCTGCGCTACCAAACAAATATATAAATTGTTTTTTCAACATCAATTATTAACTCATGTACATGTATTCATATATATGAATTTGTTAAAGTTTTAATTTAAATATATTATCTAAAATATTAAAAAATAAATTTAAAAATATATAAAATTAAAATAAAAGTAAAAGTAAATTCATTATTAAAGTTATATCCTTTTATATTTTGTATAATATAATTTATTTATAATCAAATATAAATTAATATTATAATAACCCTTCAATCGGTATAGAATAACAATCTATAACAACCCTTCAATCGGTATAGAATAACAATCTTGTACCAATTAAAAAATAAAGTAATTAATTTTTTTTCCTCTATACCAATTAGAAAATAAAGTAATTAAATTTTTTTTCCTCTATCAATTCCTCCTTCTTTCACTTTATTCTTTCTTATATTAGTGTTTTATAAGTTTTTCACTTTATTCTTCCTTATATTAGTGTTTTATAAGTTGGACTTTGTAAGTTTCCAAAGTTATTCTCTTATTTTTTTAATATTGTTTTCTTAATTTTTTTTATGTTTTTCCCTTGTTTTTCTCTCTTTCTCTTTCTCTCTCGCTTTTTCTTCTTTTTCTTTTTTATTCTACTTTTACCCAGTTAACAACATATAAAAAGAAGGAAGAGCTAATTTGTTTTATTTTTTAATAGCAAATAATCATTTTACCCTTAATGAGTTCTTTTGTTTTTATTTAACAATTTTTTTTATTAGCATTACCAAGCTCCGTTTATCTTAAAATTTTAATCATATTTTATTCCATATATTTTAAGGTTCCTCGTAAAATTTCAGCTAAATCAGATAGTTGAATTGAAAATTACCCCCAATAACATAAAACTAGTCAAGTTGTGTTTTTTCATTAAATTTTTGAATTTCTCCAAAAAATATGAAATTTTAACTCAAGCTAAAGCATCATATTAGAAGGTTCCACATGAATTTTTATAATGTTTTGATAACCCAATCGAGATTTATGAATTTTATTTTTACATAAAACTAGTTAATTTATGATTTTTCACTTAGAGAATTTATATATATTTTCATCAAGTTCTTCTTCAATGTAAATCGTTATAAAATATGCTAAGAGATCCCCATTTATTTTATTGTGAGACATATTTTTAACATACTTTATAGCTGAAAATGCTTGATCCTTGGTGACAGTAAAAATATGTAAAGTTAAAATAAGATGAATCAACTGTTAATTAAATGATTGTGTTGTGAGTTATTTATTTCGATTAATTCTCGATATCATTAAAAAATGATAGACATATTCTGTAAGTTCTCATAATGAATCACATCAATCAAATAATACTTTAGTTAAAATCTCAAATAATACATCTTTTTTTCATTAAAATATTTAGGATAAAAATTATTAACAAGCTTACAAATAGAATTCATTTTAAATGATTTAAAGTTATTTTTAGGTTTTGAAACAAAGTTAAGTACAGAGAGGTTTTATTATCTCATCATTGAATTTAGAATTCAACTCTTTCAATTGAAAACCTATTACTAAGTTAAATATATTATAAAGATAGTGTAAGTAAACTATTATCAATTATTGTTTATAATATAAAAGACTCATAACCTTTTATATGAAGCATTTATATGTATACGGTCAGTTTTATATTATGTGTAAATAAATTATATATGTGCGAGGAGAATATCAAATCCAATATCTTTTAAAATTTAAAGCAATACTTTAGTAGTTGAGATAAAATTAAATTGAATTTGTATATTTAATAGTACCATATAATAAATAAAAGAAGAAAAACAAGAAGTAATCTAGCATAGGGGGATAATTTTTTTTGACTTTGACCCTCTTAACTAGAAAAATATAAATTTTAATTTTAAAAAATAATTGATTTGATGGATAAAATATATAATTTTTTATCTAATTTAGCTAAATGTAAACTTATTTAATATTAATATCTAGCTAAATGTAAACTTATTTAATATTAATATAAAAAAATTAATAAAATCTTCCTGTAGTCCACCCAAACCTTGAACATGGCTTTATACTTGGCCTATAGTCCACCCAAACCTTGAACATGGCTTTACCTTTACTGTCCAGTAAAGTTATAGAATATTTTTAATTATTTTATATATAATACATATTTGTAATTATTAAGAAACCGGTTTACTTTGTGGTTTATTCATGATCTAAATTTTAAGTTTGTAATTTCTTATTATATATCGGAGATTTACTTACATGCTTTGCGCCCAAAAAGCTGGGTTTGGAATTCCTTAGAATCAAATAAATAGAATAAATATATGTAGCACGTGGGAGAGAAGATGATCATGCACGGAACCGACAGCATTAAAAAATTGGACTGTAACCAGGCAGGCTTTGAAACGGGAGTCACGCTCTCATTACGGGACCCACCTACGACATCGTGCTACCCTTTTTTTTTCCTAATTCTGTCTTCATTACGAAGTGCTTCTAGATGAGATCGGACGGCCAAGAATGGATCTAAATGATTGGGCAATTGATCACGTCACCAGATGATGAGAACTTCGGTTTCTGCACCTGTGATTATGAATGCGTTGATGGCGGTTTATTCAAAGTTGGACCGGTGGCGTAGGGCGATAATTACACTATGTGGAAAGTGTACTGTGTATCTCACTCACACCGAAAGTTCGATTACCCAATCCCGTTTATACGGTTGAAGATCGGTGTGATCACAGGTTTTGTGGATTGGAAAGTGTGTTTGTGCGCTGGTGAATTAGGGTTTGCTTTTGGTTCATCAGAAATACTTTTTATTATTAAGATAATTTTTAGTTTTTAAAATATTTTAATGCACAAACAATTAATACATTAATTATGTTGCGATAAAAATAAATATATTTATATTTTTTTATGGATATTCATCATAATTAAAAAACATTTATGAGTTATAAATACTAATAAATTGTGAATATTAATGAATATTCATGTCAACTAATAAATATTCATAAATTATAATGAATTAATGTTTTGGTTCTTAAGTTCTATAAATAGATAACTTTGAGGTGTAAAAAGGTATTTTAGAAATTTAATAGTTATTTTATTTCCTTGTGGTTGGTTTTCTAAGTCTTATTTCCTTTATTCCATTAAGTTCAAGACAAGAAAAAAAAAGTTTTTCTTTTCAAAGTAGTGATTTTGGAATCATATTTTGACAAAAAAAAATAGAATTGCTTCCATTTCCATTGAATTGAATTCTCCCATTTTAATGTGTTTTATTTTTGTTGTTATTATTTTTTATTTTAAGATATGTTAAAATAATATTTTTTAATTTTTAAAAATTTATTTTAAATATCAATACATTAAAACAACCACGATCTAAAAACACTAATAATACTTAATTAAATACAAAAAAAATTTAATTTTTTAAAAAATTCCTGTTAAACCATAGGGTCAAACACCCCTAAATCATTAAAAAAACCAAAACAGCAAAACTGAAAATCCCAAAAAGAAATAATCAACTCAAAAGAACAATGATAATTAAGCAAGATAGTTTCAGTTCGGTTGGGTTTAAATTGGCCCGCGTTCCAGCTCCCATCTCCTTGCAAAGAGCCCTCCCAGACATTAGCATAAGAAGCCCGGTGGAAAGAGCAGGTCTGCCTGCTTCTTGGTAAATGATGGTTTGACTGACACACAAGGGACACAACAGGACAATCTTTTGAATCTTCACGATTTGCTTCTCCGCCCTGTCCTAACCCTTTTCCTCTTTTCTCACTTCAAACCGAACCAGAGGCTTTCCTTTTGGTTTCTGGTTCTTCTCTTGTCTCTTGCGTAATAATTGCCATGCCTGATACGTCAAAAATAAAATAAAAAAATAAACTTGGGAAAGAACAGGCAAAAGCTGCAAAACACAAGTGGGTGCTGTAAATTAACAGATTAATTGAAGGTTGGACAATCATACTTCCAATAACATTCTTACATGTCTACAGTTAGAGAAAGAGGAAGGAATTTTATACTAGTCCGGTCGGCAACGACGTAGGGTTTGAGAAAAAGATGTTTTTTTTATACAGGTTTAGTTTTGAGCTGTATCAATCCTGCTTTGGTTTGATTTTATCCGTTTTAAATTTTTAAAATCAAAATTAAATTGAAAAACTAAACCAAAATAAACTGATTCATTCAATTTTTTTATCGGTTTTGTTGAGTGCTTGTTTCTCACCTCTAATAATCACACATATCAGAAAGTTTTTTTCTCCTCTATATTTGGTCAAAAACCCAGACACCACCCCCTCGGCTCCCAGTGTTAACTGAAACTCCTAAGTTTATTGATGGAAAACATCAAAAACAGAAAAGAAGTTTTCTTGGCTAAAATACGCATTAGCTTTTATAGCTTTATAAAACATTTTCAACTTCAGTCCCCGTAGTTTAGAATCGTTTTAAATCTTACTGATATAATATTTTTTTAATATTAAACAATAATCTAAAAGATAGGGTTTTTTTTTAATATTTTTTAGATTATTTTGATGTGTTGGTGTTAAAAATAATTTTTTAAATTAAAAAATTTTATTTTACTATATTTATAAGTAAAAAATATTCTAAAATCAATCAATACCGCACACCCTAACACCCCCATCAAGGTTTACTGGGTTAGGGGTTATATTGAAACTTTTTGAAAGTTAATATTAAGAAATTTAGAAAAAGTAAAGGATAGAAATGAAACATTATTGAATCTATAGGAGTCAAAATAAAGCTTATGCAAAATTGTAACCGGTTCTTTTATTCTCTATATAACCTTAATTATTATCTTGTGTATTTAAGAATTGACTTGTAAATACACGTAGTCTGTCCATCTCCCTTTCTTCTTCTGTTTCTATAACAGGTTTATTCTGTTTCTTGATTCCTTCAATGACAGACCACTGAATTTGAAGTGTTAGTATTGTCTCTTTTTGTAGTTCTTTGCTGTTGTTGTACGGTCCAGCTGTGTTTCCGTGTGCCATGCCATGCCTTTAAGTAATTCTTTCTTTCCGTTGAGAGATTTTTACGGCGTCTTTCATTGATTCATTGATGCAAATCTTGAATTCCCCTCTTTGGGGTTTTGCTCCTTATTTCGTGATCTCTGTAAAGAAAACTGATGCTAATATTAATAACTAAATAAATGATGGTAGTTGTTGATGTGCTATCTACGATACAAAAATGATCTTTTTTATTGATAGTTTTATTCAAGTTAACTTGGTTGTCAAATGTGAATCGAATCTTTTTTTATTTTGGATTTAGGATCTATAATGAGATTATTTGCCAATATTTTAAAAAAACAAAAAATATATATATATTTAGTTGCCAATAGCTTTCTTCATTATTTAACACCTGATTAGGATATGAAGAATTTTCAGCTGATTGTTTAATCTGTATTTGATTTACTTGTTCATCTTTGGCCGATTTTATTGATGCATCGTTTCTGTCTCTTTATTTCTCTATCATTTGATTCATGCTGTGAATTTCTTTGATCGTTTTACGCAAGCGACAAGGTGATTCTCATGGTTTGCTCTGTTGTTGCTTGTTGATTTGGCAGCTTATACTGGTTAAGGTCCAGGGTTCGGATTTTTTACAAGGGGATATTGTTTATTGTTCAACACCAATTTGTTGTTTTTGTTGAGCGAGCAAGCACAAATTGGGATGTGAAGATCACTCACCGGAACCCATGATAAGGTCTTTCAATGGGGTCCCTAAACGTGGAGAAGAAATGGGTTTTCCCTCTTGTCATAAGCTCTCTCATATGTCTATTCCTTTTAGCAACTTGTTTCAACATGGGTCTTGTTTCTTCACTGCATACAATCAATCAAATCTTCAACATCTTCCCATTTCGTACCAACCAGACAAGTCAAGGTTACGCTGAAAAAAAATTCTCCCTATCTCCTTCCCCTCCTCTCCCTTCGAAGATCCCTCGATTTGCCTATCTGGTCTCTGGGTCTAAAGGTGATTTGGAAAAGCTCTGGAGAACTCTTCATTCGCTTTACCATCCCCGGAACGAATATGTTGTTCATCTGGACCTTGAGTCCCCTGCAGAGGAAAGATTGGAGCTTGCATCGCGAGTGGAAAAGCATCCGGTTTTCTCAAAGGTGGGAAATGTTTATATGATCAGCAAAGCCAATATGGTTACCTATAGAGGACCCTCCATGGTTTCTAATACACTTCATGCTTGTGCAATTCTTCTCAAAAGGAGCAAAGATTGGGATTGGTTTATCAATCTCAGTGCTTCTGATTATCCTCTTGTAACTCAAGACGGTTAGTCTGTGATTTTAATTGTATATGAAACTCTCTTCTTTTTTCTTTTTTCTTTTTTCCTTTTGTTTTTGCGGTTGAGTGGATAGAGGGAGGTTGTAGTGAATGGTTGAAATATCTTTCTGATTATTTAGCTTTTAATATGCAGATCTTATTCACACATTTTCAACTATAAACCGAAATCTAAACTTTATTGAGCACACAAGTCAGCTGGGCTGGAAAGCGTAAGCACTCTCTCTCTCTCTCTCTCAATCTTAATATCTGTTTCCAGTGAGTGATCTGATATCTGATGTGGTGTTTAGGGAGAAACGAGCAATGCCTTTGATTGTGGACCCTGGTCTTTACTCGACAACTAAAGCAGATATTTACGGGGCCACGCCACAGAGATCGTTGCCAACAGCATTCAAATTATTCACCGGTTAGTATTCAGAATTAAGATTTCTTTTCTTTCCACGGACAACTTGCAGGTAAGGTTGATTGGTGATGTGTAATTCCTGCAAAGGAATAAATAAATACAAATTAGGTTTGAATTGTTGAAATCTGCAAATTTTAACAATTCTGCTGGAGCTTTACTCAGTTTGTAAATTAATTTATTAGTAACCTCTGTTTCTTTGATAGAGTTTAAGTCTGTCTAATGGCAAATGCAATTTGCAACTTTCAACTGGAAGCTAAAATTTTGTCTTGCTTTTGGGTTTCCACTGGAAGTAAGTGGAAGATGAAAGTGCATTCTGTAACTAACTAGTTTGTAGTTTCATGCTGTACAAGTTTCCTTTTCTATATTCTTCAATTGCATGTAATTTATAAAAACTGAAAGAGTTAAAAGCTTTGTGCATTGATTACAACTACAGTTTAATCTGTTGGGTTAAGAGATTATTTCATTACTGCTGGAGGTATCTCTTTCGTAGGCCTGCACCATTATGTTCTTTTTTTCAATTTAACAAACCAATGGTGTTTAATTGAGTCACCTATTTTGTAAAATCCAGAACAGGATTCCAATTGCAGCCTTTGCTTTGCTGAAAAATGAAGTCCTGAATTTTTGTTTTTGTTAGATTTCAATGGCTTCCAACATGTACGTTGCTACTGAAACACTGAAAATGTTAGCAACTATGAAGACCTCCTGTACTGCATGCAGCTGAACTTAAATGATTTCCATTTGTTTCTGCAGGTTCAGCATGGATGGTTCTCACACGCTCGTTTGTTGAATACCTAATTTGGGGTTGGGATAATCTACCACGAACCTTGTTGATGTATTACACAAACTTTGTTTCCTCACCTGAAGGATACTTTCACACAGTAATATGCAATGTACCAGAGTTTGCCCAAACTGCAGTCAGCCATGACTTGCACTACATTGCTTGGGACAATCCTCCCAAGCAGCATCCTCACACCCTCACCATCAATGACACAAACAAGATGATTGCGAGTGGTGCTGCCTTTGCCAGAAAATTCAAAGGAGACGATCCTGTCTTGGATAAGATTGACAAAGATTTACTTCACCGGAAGAATGGGAGCTTCACTCCGGGTGGATGGTGCTCTGGCAGTCCCAAATGCTCTGAGGTCGGGAACCTGGACGATATTAAACCTGGCCCTGGAGCTAGCAGACTGAAACGCCTCATATCTAGGGTAGCTTTGTTTACAACGCTTAAACAAAACCAATGTAAATAGATTTCCCAAAAGTCTCTTGCTTGCAGGTGGAAAAGGACTCAACTTCATTCTACATGCCAGAAAACAGCTTATAAAAAACTTGTTTGAGAAAAGAACCTTGATGCTGAAGATGCACCAAAGGCCTCCTCCTTTGCTAGAATCTAAGGTAGGTAAGTTTTTCATTACAAACCTGGTGCGGTGGTCGGGATCTATTTTTGCACGTTGCCTTTCTTTAACTTGTACTCTCTTTAGACCTATTATACTACACGTCCTGGAAATTTTCCGGAGTACCTCTCTTTCTCCTATTTCTTTCATGACAGTGAAATTTTTGGTTCCCAATAATTTGATAATTTATTGTCTACAGTGTAGAATCTTGGATATTCATGTTTAAGATAACAACATGAAGACTCAATTACCACAGCAGAATTTGCTCTACCATTTTTCAGTCATGTCATCAGAATGTGATGCTAAGCATGGAAGAGATCAAGAGATGTGCTTCTATTTCATCTTTCTGATAAACCTATGATCCAAATTACACATAATTATATTGTTATTATTTGGGATCTCTCTTTGCATAGCATTAGCAGCAAAAGAATGGTCTATTTGCAAATGGTTTGAATATTTTTTGTATTTTTCAATTATTGATAGACTGCAGACAAATTAGGGGGTATGAATGGAAAACGTTTATTGATGGTAATAGTTTTGGATGTTTTCATGACGATTTCAATTATTGATGGAATGCAGACAAGTGGGTGCTTTCTATCATCCTCAATTTCCGAGCTAACCTTTAAAAATTTATCAGCATTTGTTCCTTGTTATTTCAATTAATATTTTCTTTTTATTATTATTAAGTAATAGTATTTTTTTAATTAAGTAATAGAATTAAAATTTGTTTTCAATTTTATATTATTAATCAATCAAGAGATTTGGTTTATATATTTTTTTATCTAAGATTACTTTTAAAATTAATTTTTTTATGATTTTATCCTTTGTTTTTTGTTTTTTGTTTTTTATTTTGGTAAAATTTTTAAATTAATTTTTTATTTTATTCTTTAATATTAAATTATGTTTTTTTAATTGAGTTCAAATTTATGATTTAATGAGTTACGAGTTTAAAGAATTAATTTATGTTTAGAAGATTTATATGAGTTTATTTATTTATTTATTTCATTTTTTAAAGTTTTTTTTAATTTTATTCTTCAACATTTAATTTAATTAGAAATTGAGCTCTATTATTTTTCTTATTCGTTTTTTGTAAGATTTTTTACTAATTTTAAAAATAACTCGGGTTATCTCAAGTATTTTTATTTGTTGTTTGTTAAATTTAGAAGAAATTTTGGTTTAAATTAAGTTAAATGAATTGTTTAAATTTTTTTAGAAGAAATTTTAGTTTAAATTAAGTTAAATGAATTGTTTAAATATAAACATGTTATACTCACTTCATAATATTTTGGTTTTTGCTTAAATATAGCTTTTTTTGAATTGTTTTCTTTAATTGAATGTTTTCGGTCTTTAATATTTGGTTGATTAAAAATAAATTTTCAATTTTGTTTTATTATAGATTCTATAAGGTTATCACTACATCTAGGATACTACATCTAGGATAGGGGGTTTCACATATTAATTATATTTAACTTGAGTCGAGTTAATATATTAATATCTCAATATTTTTTTTAAAATATATATATCATTCAATATGTCACCTCCTTTGGGGATTTCACATATTAATTATATTTAACTCGAGTTGAGTTAATATATTAATATCTCAATATTCTTTTTAAAAAAATATATATCATTCAATATGTCACCTCCTTTTTTCCCCAAACATCTTTATAATTCTTTTCAAATGTTAGAAAAAAATGATCTAACCCGTGGCACATAGCAAGACAAGAATCTAAGTTATTAACTAGAGAAAATTGATCAAACCAGCTTCGGTTAGCATCAAATTAACCAAAATGGTTGTGAACCAAACATGGAGGTGGTAGAAAAAACAAGAGATGCAGCCAAGTTTGCAACCACTAAGTGTAATGGAACAAACCTGAACTTTCATGTTGTCACGTTGGGAGTAAGCTCAGTGCCTTGTATTAATGGGGGAGATCCCTTTTCCTATTGAAACAAACAAAGCAATGTGCATATTGGGTGTTGAAGTTTATTCTTAGCAGTGGAGTGGAGTTTTCTTTCGCTAACTTGTTTGGCAATGCTATTTATTGGTTCTACTTTTTGTTCAAAATGTTATTATTGGTTTCCCTGTGGAAGTAGAGTGGCGTGATGATTCATTAGCACAATATAATATAATATAGGCATAGATAACTTGCTTTTGAACTGATTATGGGTCGTCGTGACAGGTAAGGTTTTTGTGAATTCTATAATATCAGCATAGATAATTTGCCTTTGATTCTACCAATGTGTAGCTGCATGCATTCCATGCATTGCCTCTTCAGAGTTCGTGTCTCCTAGAATAAAAATGAGGGATTTGGGGCTAAAAGCATCTTCGGACGCAATTATAAAACCTATCAGGTAATAATTATAATATCTGCATCATTTTACTGGCATTCTATAACTTTTCTTTAATTTGGAAGTACCTTGATAAACCTGTTGGAGATGATGCCACAAACTTTTCCCTGTGGGGATCGCAACTGCGACGAAAGGTGACAGGAGGAAGCATCTACGCCTGGAGCTAGTCGATTGCCCCCATTAAGTCAACGGTGAAGGATGACATGTTTTCATCCATTCTCATTATTAAAAATAAATAAAAATGATCAACTATAAGCATGGGATAATATAGAAGACAAATATCTCTCTTAATGTTGTCTGATTCTGCTATGAACTAATGCCAAAAATTGTTTTCGCTAAAAAACCACCAGTTCTTCCTATACGGGCTGCCCATTAACCTGTTGTTGAAGATCACTGTGCTCGTTCCACTTTTCCCTCGCAACCATCTCCTTGAAGCTAAAACTGGTGCATAAACCAATTTAAACCATCTCCAAAATTTTGATATTCCCAGTAGAATTTGCAGCAACCAACGTAGATGACTGGCCACGCCAACAGACAGAAGAAATAAATTGTGCAGTATCATCCATTTCATGGCCAGAAAGCGGGTCTGTGTTGTTAAACTTAAAGGACAACACCGGCATGGGGAAAGCTTTGTGATAGACAAAAACCTATTCCATAAAAAACATTAGATCTACTTGATGAATGACAATTGCATGGTACCATAACTTGCACAGTAAAAAATCACTCCACGAGCATAGTTGCTTGAGTTTTGATACGTGTTCAAAATTAGGTAATAAATAAAATAAACGCGCTAACCAGAATCACCAAAAAAAAAAAAAAAAAACAAAGAAAAAGAACAAGAAACAGAAAAGAAAGCAGCTTAAATGCTAGTACAATATCATGATGTGAGTGAAAAGAATGGCTATTGTGATGTCTGACAACAAATTAATTATTCATGTTTCCTCCTTTTCTTTTATTTCCTTTACTTCTCAACACAAAGAGTCCAACAAAATCAGTCATATATCTTGCTTCCTAAACATTAAAGTTCACAAAACTGAACTGAAGAAGAAACAGATGCTGTAGTCTTTAGAGGTGGAGAGAGAGCACAAGGCCTATAATATCTAACAGCAGTTGGAATTCCAACAAAATGATAGCCAAAGGAAAATGTAGAAAACAGTCCAAAGGAAGCTAAAGGTAAGAAAAGGAGAGAGAGTTGCTTGTACTGCTGTAAGACGAGGCTGTTGGTTTATGCAATTGTTTCATATTCCGGATGCTGGTTGTGTTTTTGTGTCCATTAAGGTAATTCTTTTTTGTTTTCAGCCCATAACTTTTTCAAGCCTACCAATCTATTAAGAGAACCTAGTTAGATGCCTGAAAAGCTTCACCCAACCATCGAAAAAGTAACTAAACATTTGAAGATGAAATTGTTTTCTTTAAGAGGTACTATGTTCTAATGCAGCTCAAGTAACCAGGCTTGTCAAACAAGAAGAGAAAGACCACAAGTGGATTGGTTATGCCGTCATAGTAAAAGCAAGGGGATAAAGTTAAGATTGTTTTGCAACTAAAACGAAACCCCAATTTTATCCATTGTGGAAAAGCGAGGAACCTCTAAATACTAGAGAAGTGAGAAGATATATGAAGTACCTCATTTGTTTCCGAGCCAGTTGCAATGTAACCATCTGCTACAGACAAACCCACGAAGTTCTACAAGATGAGCACACAGACACAAGTGCCAAGCATGCCCACCAAAAAAAAAAATCATCTATCATTGTAACAAGTACAACAAACATACAATAAACTAAGAAATTGAAGCAACTTATCAGTGAATCTTCTAGCGTATACGTGCATGGTGAAGTACCTAAGCCAGAAAAAAGGGTCCTTGAATGTTTCCTTCATTATTTCATTTTTTTTAGTAGGCATTTTCTAACTTTTAAGATGATGACCAGTCATAACTATTTTGAGCAACCAATCGCTGATTTCAACATGAACACAATATGAAAGGTAAAACACAGACTATTCTAGAACTTTGTATTCAAATTCATATCCGCGAGACTATCTCAGAAGCTTTTGGTGTAAGTGATGGAATTCAACAAATTTCAGTAGTTCAACACACAACCACAAAAAAAAAAAAAAAAAACCCATTAAGATAGAGCATTATATTAATTGCTAGAATGAATTTGATTCACCTCATGCACTGCCAGTAACCCCCACATGCAATACATAGCAGCCTTAGTTCTCCCAACAATATAACTAGCTTACAAGAAGATTAATTGTGCAGTTTTTATTAAACCCTTCGGATGGTTATGTGCATTCTCCCAAACATCTACTTTATAAGGAAATCACAAGCCAACTTTTCATCCAAGTGAAACATGTTTTGAATGAAAATCAGTTTTGAAGGCACAGAACTCCATGTCTGGCAACTCCATAATGTTTTCTTTTTTGCAAGTCCTTAATAATTTTTTATCAATATAGTACAAAAGTTAACATACCATTTCCCAGCCCCCTCTTCACAACTTGACTCCGAAGAACATTATTGCCAACCACATAAACAATCTGATTCAATTACCCATCTTGTCCTATTAAATGCCTTACATTTGTTAAATGGAAGATGATGACTAGCAGCCAATGCATGGGAAGGAGCATATAGTACCAGTGATTTCATGACTTGGAATGACCATCCTATAGTAAAGTCAGCGTTGACATTAAAATGGGGAGTGAGCTTATCAATTGTTTAGCTTTCATGTCATCGGCAGCGTAGCTCAAAATTAAAGCAACCTCATGACATGATGGAGGGCACATGTAGACTCACAACAATATTTGAATTATGCTTTCGCTGTAAACCAACACAATATATATATATATATATATATATTTGCAAGTGATATTGATTGCATCTTCAGCAATGCTTATATTACGATTCTGAAACACTAATTACATTCTGCATAGAGTGGCTGCCCTATGTTAACACGCGATAATTGATAATTACAATTGAAGTCCGAGTATCCTATAGCCCAATGAAAATTAAAAACTACAAGCAAACGGATGAGTTTGTATGGGCTGCACCTGATTCTAGTTCAAGTTTAAATTAATCCCAACTGTGACAGACCAGGAAAATGACAACTACTCAGAATCATTTTAATCCAGTAGTCATTACAGAAAGGTCATAAAATATTGGTCATACCTTTGCATTCATGTGGCCTGTGAAGGATTGAATGGTGCTATCAATAACCCTAGATGTGCCCATTGACAAATCCCAGAGCTTCAGCGTGTTGTCCGTTGATGCCGAAACAAGATTGGTCATATCTACAAACTTCACATAACTCACAGTTTTATTGTGTCCAATCAATGTACAGAGAGGAACTTTGGAGTTGCGGAGATCATAGTAATAAATTCTGTGATCTGCTGATCCAAAAGCAATAGAACAACTAGAATCCAAGGGAAACTGAACAGAGCAGATATTGGCTTTTGTTTTGATGGAACCGATACTTACTCCCTGCATTAGCAACCCGAGTCAGACGAACAACTTATCAGTTATCCAGGGTTAAATTTACACACTAAGAAATCATACAACACTAGTACGTTTATTTTCAAAGCTGACATCCACCAAATGCAAAAGTAACATTGCCTGATTGATACTCCATAGCTTTACAGAACCATCATCACCCCCACTAGCCAGCATTGTGGGATCTGCTGATGAAAAGTCAACAGACCACACACGCCTCTCATGCTCTCTCATTTCTGTCACTACTTGACTTCTTGTAACATCCCATACCTGAACATGTTGAGCAACTGATTTACGATTGAATGATATGAAAACAAAAGGCTAATAAAATATAAGGTTTGAGCCATTACCTGCACCACACCTTCAAAGTTACTTGAAGCAAGTTGGCTTTTAATGTAGCTGTTCCAACATATGCTGCTTAGCTTTGACCTACAGACCATTTCAACAACAGGATAATGGATATCACGAGCTTCATTTATAATTGTATCACATTCAAATACTTTTATCTTTTTATTTACACCAGCTGCAGCAAAAAATTCTCCATCACGATCAAAACTAATAGAGCAGACTAGGTTCGAAGAGTTCAACAAATCCCCTTGCTTCAGGTCAGCCTTCACTTTTAACTTGCTAAAAGATAGATACTTGCACAAACCCTCAAGGAATGGACTTATCCATCCACTTCGTCTACCCTCAGTAAACTGATGCTTTGGTGCTATGCTATTTATTGAGCTTCGTTCAGTAGCAACAATAGAGATTCTCCCATCACTAATTACTGGTAAATTTCTAGCAAATGATGGTTTCCCTGGTGGCCTTACTGGTCTGCTTCTTGTCAAAAAATATGCGGACTCTAATTTCTTAAAGTTCTTCATTAATCGTGAACTTCTAAAAAGAGGACTTTCCTGTGATTCTACAAATGTATCTGAGTTCTGACTTTCATCTAGATTATCATCACATTTCTCTACGTTGTGAATCTCAAGGCCTGAGCAAAATCGTTTTCTGGAACCCAAGCTAGAAGAATCATCAATGTCAACAACATTCAATGCAGGGATATTTGATGTTAAATGATCACCCTCTCCTCTTTCTTTACACGTGTCTCCCTTTTTCTTAAGAAACACTTGATGCTTTGTAACTTCTTCAATATCAGAACATAGAAGAGAAATAGTATCTTGCAACTTATCAGCTGCATCCTGTTTTCTTTGTTGTATTAGTAAAAGGAATTCCAGCAACAATTCCTGCTCCTCTATTCTCTCTCTAAGCTGTGTTGCTGCTTCAAGCTCTTCCAAATTGTTTATTGGTTCATTAAGAAACTCGCTTTGTAGCAACTCACTGTTACATAATACAAAAGCATAAGACCACAAAAATTTGATTGAACATAAATCGAATGAAATGTAAACAAGGTACTTGGCTCACACTTTAATAACCATAAGCAAACGAGGTGCTGGTTCGAAGGGTTTGAAAAATCCCCCCCCACCATGAAGTGAAAAAAGAAAACAAAGGTGCAGAAATTAATAGTCACCCTATTTTTGGCCGACTACTTGGCTCAGGGTGCAGTAACCATAAGCAAAATGAAGCTTCTTTTGGCCACTTGAGCAGCAGTTGAGGAGGAAGAACTCGATGTCTGAGACTAGACATAGTTCTGCTTTTGTCTTCACTCGAAGTGAATGGGCAGAACAACTGTTCACAAGTAGAACTATATCACATCAATGTAGACAGCAAACAGCAGAAGCTCTAACACATCATTACAGGCCATTTAGATGATGAAGAACTTCATGCTTGAAATAGAAGTCAAAAGTGCAAAACAGATACAGGAAATGACTTTTTATTCCACCCTGATTTTGATTCATAAATGCAGCATTATCATAACAAACCTCGAAAAGAAGAACTCCCAATCGGTAGATGTCTGAAGCGCAAGAGCTTGGTGAACCAGCATCCTCTTCAGGACTGGCATACCAACAGGACTCCATAAGCAATATTTGCTTCATTGGAAATGGTTGTTTCCTTTCTTCTTCATGTTCAACATTCCTCATATCATGGACTTTATGTTCTCCTGTTTCTTCCACTAAGGGTACATCTGCTGCATAAACCAAGCTCGACTGCATGCAACTGGCTTCCGATAAAGTATCTGTTGGAGTAGATGCAGGTAGAAAATCTTCACTTTGTAACCCACTTCTTTGCTGGCACATGTCATGGGGCAAAGAAGAAGAAGAATTTTTAACCTCCATAGTTTCGCTGTTCAATCCATCATCCAAAGAATCAGACCCTGAATCTGAGCAAGACGCGGACTCAATGAAGGAGACCTGGTTAAATGATGACATAACAAAGCAAGAAGGCCGGACATTGTGAACAACAATTCCTTGTGAATGTGCCACATTTACAACTTCGACTACTTGCCTAAATATGTGCAAACATTCAAATTCATTAACAGACCGTTGTGGTTTGTCCAACCAGTGCCTCAAGCTAACATCGTTCCATTCTATGGTTTGCAAAAAAGGGTCAACTGCAGCTTCATCCTCACAAACCCCAGATAAAGTACCAGCCTGGTTTTTAAGGTTTTGACGCGCCAGAACAACCCTATCAGTCCTCTCCTTTCTAAACCCAGAATTGTGAGATGCAGATCTCAGGTTCCTGTTTGAAACCACTGAAGTATTAAATTCCCTATGACTATCAGACTTCTGCCAAGCAGACTCAGATGAGCCCTCCATGGCTACCCCCATAGGGTTGCATGCAAGCCAGAACAAGCACATCCAAGAAATGGAGGAATTCGCCTGCTTCTACCACACCCTCTAACTCCCACCATTACCATCTTCAGCAATACCTCATTTCAAAGAAAAGCTAAAAGAACCCAGTTTCTGATCAACCAACCCTTGCTTGGCAGTGGTCACTGAAGCAAATAAGATGAACTCTTTCTCAAGTCTTAGCAAGCAAACTTCTCATGAGACAAACTGCAACCACCTACATCAGTAAACCAATGAAAAAGAAGAAGAAAATCTTCAAAAGTAGGGAAAAAAGAAGAAGAAGCAAAACATCTATTATACAACACACATTTTTTTCCCCTTTTTCATCCAACAGAATTACATAACCATGTCCTCACACATGAACTTTTCAACACAACAACAATACAAGCACCAGCACCACAAAAAATCAGAGACAAGTACTACAATATCCAGAAAAAGATAAAAATTTTGACACCCTTTTCAATATAGAATTTCAAACACAGCACCTAAAGGTTTCATGAGGGGGGAAAAAAGCAACACATGCATAAGAACCAACAAAAGCCCGCCCACAAAAATATTATATACACCCTTTTAGAAGGGAGTGCGCGGATAAGTACCTGTTGTAGCACCAAGAATGGATCTTTCAGATCCTGCTAGACCAACCTGAAAAGAGAACCACACAACACAAGAAGACTTTTAGTTACTACACTAAAAACGACTACCTCATAAAGTCCTTCATTTTTTCCCCACAACTACAAAAATAAAAACAAACAAAACCGCTCCGCAAAATAACGACACCATGTTTCAACAAAATAAAAAAGCGAACATGAAGGCAAAAAAACACACGCTTCTCTCTTTTTCTCTCATGCTCTCTTCACTTTTTATATTTTATTTATTTTCATGTCTTAGAAGTATTTTTAAAAATTTTAATTTTTTTTTACCTTTTATTTTAAATTAATATTTTTAAATTATTTTAATATATTTATAATAAAAATAATTTAAAAAATAAAAAAAATATTATTTTAATATATTTTCAAATAAAATATATTTTAAAAAATAATCACAACTATTATCACAGGCAGCTGAAACAGTCCTGACTCTTCGGCTCTTCCTCCTCCTTATCTTCCCGCTTTATTCCATTTGAGTTACGTGGCAGCACCATAGCCTCAATCATGTTTTTTTCTTTACACAGAAGCCAAAAAGAAATGGCGAATTTGAAAACTAAAAAGAAAAAGAAAAGTTCTTGATGAAAAAAATGATCTTGGCTTTCGGGAAACTAAAGATTAATATAATAACATTAAGCATGTGAAACATTAAACTAATCTAATGATGCGGTTCTTGTTAGAACAGCACGTAAGAAACAATTAAGAATAGTTAATCGGGGGTTCTTGTTAAAGAAAAAATAGTAATTCTTTAATCAAAAGAGAATCCGATTGTTGGCACTAACAAATAGCAATCCAACATAATCATCAAGAAACACTCATCGAATGATAGAAAAGAAGCAAATAAACTATTGATTACTGTAGTAATGAAAACACAAACAAAGAAGCAAAGCCGATATAATGATAAATAAACCTTAAGAATGAGGGTTTGACTCTGTCCGTCTCTCTCTCTGTGATCTCTACAGTTGAAGTTGGCAAAAGAAAGCATCAGAATTGACAAGGAAGGAAAAGATGAAGTGGAGGGGTTAATCTGATACAAGGTAACAAGAAGAATGGTGGGGTCAGGTAATTTAAGCAGTGAGTGGTAAGGTGGCAACAATAATACGTGGCCTGGTTGATTTTCCATGTTCTTAAAATGGCCACGCCTTGTTCCATGGGGTTTGGACTCTTCTATTTGCTTTCGTGTATGAGTTCTCGTATTTATAGAATCCCCTCACTCGCACATTCATTTTTGGGACACCATGTCATGAATTTATGCATAAATTATTGGTAACAAAATCACGAAAGAAGCACAGAAACAAAATAAATCAGCAAATAAAACTTGAGGTATAAACACGTAGAAATGGCAAGAGAAGAAACGCGGGATAGTCAGAGGTTTTCCTCTCGCTGCTCATTCTCGTACCTTCAAGCCCATTTGGATATGTATTTTGTTAAAATCCATTTGGTATGGCATCAACTGTTCCTCTCAAATGATAGCAATGAGTTGTGTTTAACCAAATCTACTTTGATAAGCACCTAATGACAAGTTATTTGCAAAAAACATTAAAAAACAATCCTCTTGTACGATGATATTATCAAGTGGTTTGGTGTGTGCATAAAATATGATTAAAAACCCTTTATGGTTTTTTAATCTTATTACATCACTAGATTTTTATCCCACTTTTGTTTAACAGACACTGGTCATACATTCAACTATGCATCCATAGTTTTGTATTTGTTTGTGAAAACGAAGGAGATACTTGAGCAGTCTGTGTGGACCACTGGTCCACCATACCAGATAAAGAGCACATTAATATATTGTGTGAAGAACGTAAACCATTGAATGTGAACTCTTGGAAGACGATGGCCACCATGAAAATCAAATCAGCTTTGGGTTACTAAAGGTCCAACTCAAGATTTTGTGATTTTTGATAAGGTTCCCAGTAGATACGCAGAAACCTTCTTGCATTTCATCAAGAAATACTTCAGAAAGATCAGGGGGAACATTAATCAGTGGCTTCCGAGGCTTCACTATGGGCGAAGGAGCACGGGTTATACTCAAGTCATAACCCATGTAGTCTATCCATACAGTGTAGTTTTCTCCATTGTTGAGCTTCAACTCTTGGGAAGACCACTCAGTCTTGCTAAGTCTGCTCTTTGTCTTGACGCCACACCTCTACACGGCTTCCCTGGCCGACAAAAGTGAGAACGGGTTCATGTCAACACCAACATGATTGTCATTAATATCATATTGAATCCTTGATTTAATTTGAAATCATCGAATTAAACGTCTAAAACTTTGTTGCTGGGGTTTCCAACATTGGTGTTGTTCAAGTCAAGAAAACAAGATGCCCTTTTCCTTTCGAAAAGAAGCATCTACAATCATAGTTACAAGAATCAGTACCACCCATAACATGATAAAAGACCGGATCGCAAATTAAAACAGGTCAAAAACCATTGTTCAACTCAAATTTATTATTATTATTAATGAAATAACATCGTTTAAAAAACACTTAAATAATATCTTTTAAAAAAAATTATTAAAAAAATCATTAATTAAGTCTTGCTTGGGTTGGGTTTTATTCAGGTTATCCGAGTAATGAATTAACCCGTCACGTCAAGCCACCTCGTTAGACAGAGTCAAGTCTACACGCAGTTCAAAAACAAATCCAATCCAAGTTTGATTATCTGATCACTAGATCTACCTGCCAAGCCAGGTTTGATAATTATGCCTTCAATACCAAGAAAAGCATGAGAAAGGAGACAAGACCATGACCAGGGTGAGAATTGAACGAGGTGAATTAAGAAGTGAAAGAGGACGAGAAAGGCAGTAGCTTTGAGGAGTTTGGGTATCTTGTGGGAAACTTGGGAGTGGTACAGGACTCTACCAGTGAAACATGTGGTGTTTCTAGTTAAGGAAAGGGAACCAGATTGTAGATCTTCAGTGCCAAAAAGTAACAACTGTGAAGAACAGAAACTGTTAAATGCATGTGAACTCAACTGCAGATTTAAATTGGAGAAAGGAGCTTGTTAAGAATAGTAGCAGTTCGAGGAGCGTTCTCATTTTGCAGACTAGGAACTGAGCTTCAAGAACCTTGTTCATTACTGCCATCCATCACCAGACTTTTAGATGCAACTTATAGCGTCACCATCTTGTTTTGAAAGTACAATAATGTATTCAGCAGCTTCTTGAAGGAGGGTCGGCGTTGAAATTTCAAGTTGTTACCCTTTAGAACTCGGACATTTCCAAGGCCAATATGAGTGCGTCATCGACCATGGGATACTTCGCAGGAGAGAGTCGGTGGCCGTGTGGTCAGCTGTGAAGAACTTCGGAACAGGGAGAATATCATTTCTACGCCTGTGATAGATGAGAAGCGACCCTTTCGCAAGGACAAAGGATTTATAATAAAACCTTGAGAATGTTGGATGCAACAATTCTCTCTTGAACACCGTAGAACAATTGCACATCATCCAGATACTCTACATCTTATGGCTGATACAGATGCTCTACAAGAATGGCCAATAATTTAGAAATTGCAGTAATAGTGGAAAGTAAATACACAAGATCAATTGCAGAGAGGGGAGAGATTTATCAGTAAGCTATAATCTTATATAGCTAAAATGGCCGCTAGCTATCTTTCTAAGAACATATACAAAAACCAAACCCCAGCCACGGTTATTAACTCATATTTCACAGATGGAAAGCACCAGTCAAGCTACTCTGTAATGATCTTCCCAGCAATACTTTCTCATTTGGGGCTTACCTCATTGACCTGAAACAAATAATGAATTGGTTGATATTTGGTTGCTTTCAGCCTGGACTTTTCTAACCTTTTCCTTGTCAAGACGTGCTCGTCTAACAGCTTCTTGGATCTGGCGATCATGATCATTCAGCATCTGATCCATGTTCCCTGATGGAACTATCAATGGACCGGAATAGTGAATTTTATGACCCTTTGACCCATAGCCAAGCTGGATTCAAATTAACATGAATCACGAATCAGGAACCACAAAAAAAAAAAAGTCATAAACAACATGCATGACAAGACACAGACCAAAAGGAAGCAGCAAGGTAGTTAGAAAATCGGTATCAGTCCCCAAGCATTCAGAAGGAAACTTCTAGCAAAACATCCACAAAAAAGGAAAATAAAGAAAACTGAAAAGTGTTTTGAAAACTTACAAGGACTGGATCTTTACTGCTATTTCTTCCATCTTCCTTTTGATGGAAACCTGCTGCACCCTGCGACGGATGCCTCGGATCCTGTTGGGTGAAGGATTCTGAGGTTTCTTTGAAGGATCCTGGAAACCTTGCCATTAGTTTTGGAACTTCTGGTAGTGCTGGGCCAGACCTTTCATTGCGATCTTCAGACAATAAACTCCTCCGTGCTGCCACTAAGCTTGACATTGTTGACAAGTCAGCCCCAGTGGAAATCTTAGGAGCATCATCAGGGTTCCTGCTGGCCTTGGCCCATGCAGCACGGTGAGACAATGGCCCAGAATGGGAAGCTCTCTTATGCTGATGCCCCTGAGGATCCATGTTTGATTCTGCAGCTTGAGATGGTCTCGGTGGATCGATTGGAAAGCCAGAAGCAACTTCTTCTGGATGGGGATTAAACTTCTCACTCCGGCTCTTGGAATTTGACTGACCATGTCTTTTCTGTAGTTAGAGGGCAATCCATTAATATAAATTTCAAAAGCAAAGTCAAATTAAATTAAATGGAGTACCAAAAAAAAAGGGAATCAACAGTGAAAAGAGATCATTCATGAAAATGGAGCAACAAGAAACAATCAGTTATTAGGTGATAATGCTTAAATGAGTCTGGAGCAACTCAAAAGGAGAGAAGTCAAAAGTTGTTCGGTAAAAGGAAGTATGAAATGCTACTTTCATGGCATGAGGAAGAGGAGAGAGGGAGAGGGAACAAAAGGGAGAATCAATAAAAGATGTCATGTCTCAAAAAGTGCCTTTTGTACAAAGCTGTTATTCGAGGTGAAGAATATCAATTTCCATGTGATCAGAACAGAGAGATGGCACATTACTTTATACTTCATTGTTCTGAGAAGAGTGCAGTAAGAAGTGTTTTAAGACTTAGTGTTATGCCTGACTTGTTTGCTAGCTTTTTGTAGGATTATAACAGAGTTAACTTTTTTATATAAAAAAAATAAACCTTCCCTCTTCTGACCAATCTTTCCACCACTTCGCTATCCTCAAAGGTTCACCATGTGGACCAGCATGCCTACTAACAACCTCCTAATCACAATCCTTCCCCAATCAAATATATATACACATGCAAATATGTGTCTTGAGAGAGAAACAGGCGTCTTATAGAAATCACCTGCATTGATAAAACTAGCTCAGCATTGGCATCAGGTGCCGGGACAGCACGAGATTCCCGCCGTCCTCTTCTTTCCATGTCAGATTTCTGGCCCTTGCTTCCTGCTGCTCCTTGTCTGTTAACATGAAAATAAAATGAGATTGTTAGTAAATTACACCACACTTACAAGTCAAAGATTTCATCAATGATAGAAGGGTAACGGACAGATTGGTGGATCAAAAAGAAACCCACAATAAGCAATATGAGCCAGGGCGTGGTGGCCAATGTAGTTTCTGTTGCTATAACAGCTCCATTCCTACTGCTACTACTAGAACAAGGGGATTACTTAATAAAGCACTGGGTTGGTCGCTCTTCAAACTGGTAAAGCTCTAGAACCAGCACCAGTGATAGATAGCAACATCAAATTACATTAATAAACATTGCAATCATCTGATGCAGGAGCTTCAGTTCTTAAGGCCTTCTAGACAGTTAAGGGCACGCAACTTGTATATTTCCAACACTGCCATGATATAGCTAACATGGCCAAAAAGGAAGTCTTTTAAAGCCTTTTTCTGGGCCTTTTCCAGCATCCTTACAACTAAAGATTAATGAGCAATTAATGGTAGAACTGTAAAACAAATTATGTTCTTTTACAATGTTTACCTTCTAGCTTCTTCATCTCGCATTTTTGCATCGAATTCTTTGCTAGGAGGATACTTGGGAAAGCTTGAAGGATCACATGGAAGCGGCTTGGTTATAAAGAACTGTAAAACAAAACTACACAAATCAAATACTAACAAGCAAAAAGAAGCGAGAAAAACGTAAAATAGAACTATAAATGTTAGTGCAACCTTAGACAGCCATAAAGATCATACTTAACTTGCGTGCTTG